ATTGATATTTTCATTTTTGACTCATGAATTTTCATCTCAAGAAGCTATCATGGAACAAAGAAATTCCGATATTGATGGATACGCGGTTTGCTCGTAAGATACCTCAGAAAAAATTAACGGCGACTGGCTAGAATTATTCGAATGAGCGCTCTATCGACAGGTCTATCCTTACGCAACCCTAATCGGTTGGACTCAGTTGCTAACGGACAACGCTATGATTCTAATAGTCTCCTCAACTGAAATATTACCTTGCTAACCAATCAACTATCCTATCAGCCGAGAAATTAGGACGGCGAACTTTAGAAAGGCAACGAAATTGAGTGATCAGCTTGAAGCAATTCTAAGGGATCGAGAAAACCCTGCCACCAGAGAATCATTTTAATTCCACGGAGGCAATATTCACATAATAAATTACCCGCCCCCAGCCCCAGATTATGGATAGCGGAACAAGTTGTTAATGCAGATTAATAAGGTAACAGTGTGACTGTTAACTGTCTTTACGACGTAAGTAAGCAGAGTATAAAGGCGGTAACTCTGTGACAAGCAATAACCTTTGCTTAGGGTTAGGATGATCAATCAGCTACGCGATTCGTTCATTCAGTTCTGTCTTACAATTCAATCTGAACCTCCAATTCGACGTTTAGTCATGTCGTCTGAATAAAGCCACTTCTCAAGCAGGTTATTGATAGAGAGGCGTGCCGGGAAGCAGACAAGAGGAAGAGAAAAGAGGACATACGCGCAAGTGCCATTCGACAAATCGGGACCCCCTCATCGCTGCCGTACATGCCGATGAACTGGGGACAGCTGTTGTGCGACAAGTGCGTCATTCGTCATCGGCGTTACGTGCACGATCACCAGCCAACAGACCATCCATTACACAAGTTAGAAGCCCAAACGGCGCCTTAAAAACCAAGATATTAACGTAATGTGAAAAGGGACATCTCGTGGCCGCGTGCAACATATGCAGAGAGAGAGAAAGAGATGGAAAGTGGTGGATGAAACGTGATTCCTGTTTCATGATTCAGTTAGACAGCAGGGGAAGTGGTCGAAAACAAAACAGATAAAGAGAATCATTCATTTCTGAAAACACCGTGAAACAAGCTCATAACGCTAAGCAGAATCAGCGTAAAAGTCAGATGAAAGATAAAGGTAATCTTTAAAAAAAACAAAAAATAATATCACCATCTTTATGACTAGACAACTCTAAGTCTCAGCGTAGATTTGCTGATCAATGAGCACTCCAACAAACAGCTGGGGTTCAACGAACCTTCATTCCAATAAAAATCATTCAAGAAGAAATCGAAGATGAAGAAAAAAGAAGAAAAATGAGAATGAGAATAAGACGCTTTTATTCAATGGTCAGTATGCCGTTTACTTGATCTCTTTTTTGCCAAGTAGGAATAGGGGGGGTTAACTTCGGCTAATTATCACATTAAATTAGCAACTAATAAGCGGATCAAGGTGAATTACAGTCTTGAGGCACTCGCGTCAAGCTGTATAGCCGTACAATTCGTCCATTGCGGTATTACCACACCAAAATAACATGCTCTCCATACTGTTCGCAAGTCAACGACTTCAATCCATTTCTCAAGTGAGTTTACCACAGCAAGGTGGGTTAAGTTCCTTCCTCAATGGGATTCACTGTTAAGACAAAGACTGGTCTATTTTAGGATTCGAAATTGGCCCCTCTTCGCCAAAACTGTGCACCAAAAACTTCCCTTGAGTCGGATTTAAACCAGCTATCTACGAATTTCTTTGTAACCTCAACAGTCCACCATTCTACCAACTGCACTATCTCATACTTTCGCTGCTTACAGGCATTCTCGAATAAAATTCCTTAACACAATTCATTGGTACCGGAAGCGCGAGGTGAAAATAAATCTGCGACAGAGGAAACCGTCCGCGCTCAGTTACGTGAGGTAGCTTAATGAAAATTCCGTGCTAGAGTCACTAAAGCACAAAAGCTGAAATACAGTACGATGCGCACAGAATCTTCTTTCAAAAATAATTAGTTGTAATTAACCTTTTCAATTAAAAATAATAAATGTATAATTAAAAATTCATACTTTAGGATCCTGTCGCAGAAATTCTGGATCGTCCTCTTTACAGTCAAATGCCATTTCGTTAAACGTTATTGAAAAGATACCCGGCAGAACCAACCCCGGCGCGATCAACTTGCATGACGTGGTGAAACAAGTGACCTCTAAAAACAAAAACAAACAATCGAGAGATCGTGGCAGCTGAGTAAAAACAAAACAACGAAACAAGACGACAACCGTCACATTGTGCCCCTGTTGAGAATCGTAAAAATGCGTCAAAGTTTAACAAAACAACGAATGTTGTCATTTGGCAGTGTGACGTTGCGCAAAGAGTGTCTGGACTTGACTGGCCACAAACCCAACGGTACTTCTTAGGAGCAAAAATGCAAATCAACCCGAAATAAACACAACGTTCCTACGTCCGTAGGAGGCTCATAGAAGAAGAATAACGGAGAATTCCAAAGACCTTTATAAGAGCCAAAGAAGCGAAACCGGGGGCCACATGCTCAGCATTTTCCGGTAAAATGGCGAAGCCACCTTTCATGCACAATGCTATTATTAAATGACGACGTTAAAAGAAAACAGGATTAACATCGCCATCCTGCAAGAGCCGGCGATCGAAGATGATTGCAAAGAAGCCAGTTACAAAGGTGCTGGGTTCAGTATGACCGCTAACACAAATGACTCCAAACACGGTATACCTAAATATGCCAGAGTATACTCCAAGGATGTGACTGTGCTAAACACAAGCAAAGGTCCGATAGGCGAGCAACAAAAAGAACTAAATGAACTGGAATTTACTATAGTGAGCGTCAGAGAAATTGCTACGAACATATACAAACGATCCGGAATCAACTGGCCAACATCACCGCTATCAACATTGTCTCACCTACCCAGCTGTATATGCAGGAGATATTAACAGCCATCATATTGCAGGGAGTTACACCGTGAACAGTGCGGCTGTGAACAGCTAAAGTGAAGAAGAAGAATAAGAAGAAGAAGAGCTAACTGATTAGACAATAACAGCTTTTGTACACCAGCTCAACGATGCTAAACAGCAAGGTACATTCAGAAGAGCAATATGGAAGAATGACCGAAGTCCAGACCTCTGCTTCATCTCCAACGACGGTAGCTACATTCCACTTCCTCTCTCCAGGACAGTGCTAAGATTATTTCCAAAAAGCCAGAACAGCAGCTTAATGCTCCGAATCGGTCTGCAGGCACCGCATACCAGTCCTCACGGCCAACGAGATTAAACTTTAGAAAACGAAACTGGAAATCGTACACTGCCAAAGTCGAAGAGTGCGTCTTAAGGCCTTGTGGCTACGCCTCAATTTTAC